GGCGGCCAGGGAGCTGAGCAGGGTCCCCGCGCCAGCCCCCGGCCTCCGGATCCGCAACCGCCGCCCCGCCCCCGAGAGACATGACTTCCAGGCAGCATTCCGACTGGATTCCCTACAGGTACGCGGGCGCCGGTCCCCACCTTCTCTTCAACTCGGGGGTGCGGCCCACCACCCTTCCAAGGGTCGTGTATGTGCATAGATGGCGTGGGGCAGGGTCGAAGGCGTCAGACCCAGGGCAGGCTGGGGACACTGGTCGGGGGCGCGGGGCACCTATACTCTCCTCATCTAGCCCAACACCGGGGCCGTGGGGTTGGAGACGCTGGTCCTTCCTACCCCAACTTTGGGGGCCCCTGTGGGCTGAACCTGCCCTGCACCACTTCTTACCCGCCAGGGTTGCTGGAAGGGACCAGTGCCCTGGGCCTTTTTGGGTCTGGCAGCTTCGTGTGTCCACCTGGGGAGGGAGTGCACACTACTGTGAGCCCCCTCCTAGGCCCTGCACACCGAGTCACATGCCATTATAGCAGTGCACACACCCGTAATCTGCAGGCATGCACCCACAGGACGTCGGTGCACTGGGTCAAAGATGCTCCTGCTGGTTGGTTCACACTCTCAGAGCGAGAATTCCTGGAGACAGTTATTCTGAACCAAGTGCACAGGCGGCTCACATACACATGCACCGTGTATCTCTCCACACACGCATACACTCACACGAGTGCAGTGCTACATATCTGCACACATACACATCCTGTATTTGGAGACTACCTGACACCTGCTACCCACTCACAAGTACTACTCATGTCTTTCAGATACTCAGAAATACACTTGCTAACAGTTGGACACACACCAACTCACAATACCTTGAATTGCCTTTACATGCACAAGGGCACTCAACAACCCAGGCACAGTGAGGGAAGCACCGCCATCCTGTGATCCCAGATGCTATGGTCTGTCCCAAGGACAACTGGGTTTTCTCACCTGCGGTGGGAGGTGGGAGGAGGGAAAGGGGTCTCTGGGGCTTCACACAGGTGCAAGCCTTTCCGCATCCACTCTGCCCCATTCTCTCCATTACCACTAGAAGGGAGCTTATTGCCATGGCAGCACAAGATCCTTGGCCACCCATTGGCTCCTTGGTTGCCATGGGCTACAGAGCTGTCTGGAGGCCTCCCAGAGAGGCATGTGTGTAAAAAGGGTCCCAGACTTCTAGGGTCCACTATGTTCTTGCCCGCCCAAGTACACATGCCGGTGGGTGGTGGGAACAGACCTTCAAGACCTGCCTTGTAACTGCCTGCTCTCTGGAAGGGATCTGATTCTGGTCACTGATAGAGAATAATTCTGACAGCTCTTCTGTGAGTCTGTCCAGACAGCGTCCAAAGTGGAAACCAGCTGAAACCGCCTGAGGCTTGTTAAAGCAGATCCTTCTGCAAACAAGCACCTGTCACTGTCCTGGAGATTCAGGGTTTCTCTTAAGAATTGTGTTTCTAATTTTGGTTCCCTTTGGGCCTTCAGGGCTTCCCAGGTTAGAATTTGTGGGTGCCTTTCCCACCAACATACAAGTCACCATAGGGTTTCCTGCAGACATGCAGTCACACCTCAGAGTCTCACTTAGACCAGGGACTAAGTGAGGCTCTGAGGTATGACATCAGGGGACCGGGCTGACTCAAAAGAGCTGCCACCCCACACAGGGCATTTAGGCTAAGGGCACAGGTAGTTCCTGGAGTAGCCTGGCTTTCTTGACACATGTGAGCTGACCTTCTAGAAGATAGCTCTACAAAGTACTGTTAACCTTTTCTTGCCACCTAGCAGAGGTGCCTGGATAGCTCCTGTGGGCTGATGGCCTCTGGTACTGTGGAAATACCTGTATGGGAATACATGTGGCAGAGTGGTGGCCACTGACTTAAGAGGGAGGGAGAGAGGGAGCTGCACTGTGGCTGTGGGTATGATGGCATGTCTAGGATCTGGCCGGCTGGAGGCCAGACCAGCTCATGGTTCAAGGAAGCCTCTCCCAGGAGCCAAGGACCAAAGCAAGTTGTAGAGTGATCATATGGGTCTTAGAAAAAGTTAGCCTCAGACTGGGGAGGGTTACGCCTGCCTCTGGGAAATGGGGACCTAGGGAGGTGGGTCGTCTCTGGGAAATGCTCTTTTCCAGCGAGTGCCTAGGGCAGTGGCATTGTGCAAAGAGTGATTTGGCACTTGCCCAGCCCGGGCCCAATTCTCCGCCTCCATTCCTTTCTTGGGCCCACACTTTCCACCTGGAGTACAGCATCCTGCCACCCTGAAAGCCTAGCCCTACAGAGCAGTTTGATACTCGTGTGGCCCTGCCCCGCTTGCTGTCTTATTGCTCTGTCACTCTGCCAGGATCTCTTCTGCTTTGCTGGGGTCTTTCTGAGGATGCACTGAGCCTAGGAAAGCACTGGACCTGGGGTGTAGGCTTCCAGAATGGAGAAACCTGGGCTGAGAGGAGATGCACGTTGCCTCTTGCATTAACTGGGCTGCTTATTGCAGTCACAGCCATATGCCTTTCTGATCACAGAGAAAACTGGGGCAGGAGGCAGGCAAAGCAGTTTACTTGCAGATGAGGGGGATGGGCACATGTGCACGTGCTTTGGCATGAGGTTTCGTTAATGTCACAGCATGTCAACTGGAATGTGTCATTTGGTTTGGGGGCGAGAGGTGAGTGGATTTCTTGTTAGCTCTGCTGGTTGGGGTTCTGCTCTCTCTCTGTGATGATGGTTGCACCTGCGTTCCCTGGGTCTGGCTCATTTTCTTTAAAGCAGTGACAGTTGCTGATAATCTTCTTAAGGGTAATTATGGCTCAGTTTATAATGATCATGGATTAATCTCACATTCTGATTTAGAAGGGAGCCATTTCATTTGTAAAGTTTAACAATTGGAATAATCTTTGCCTTTTTTTCTATTACATCTAATTCCACTTCTGCCATTTTCTCTTCACCGGTGTTCTTGAGGAGTGTTAAATACCCCTAGTTAATGACCTTTTATGAGTTGAAGGTAGAGCACTGAGAGGAAGGACTGTACTGGGTGGGAGCAATGGCTGGCCCTGTCCTCAGTACTGTCTGCATGGTCCTGCAGCTGTTACCTGGTGTCTCCCTTACCAGGCCATGAACACCTGGAGAGCAGGGACCTTGTCTGGTACTCGGCTGGGTGCCTAGCAGGACCCAGCACAGACAAGATGCCGCTTTGAATCTAAGTGGCATCCCTGGGTAGTTCTTAGGCCCTCTTAGCCTTCCTGGCCCCACGCCAGGTCTTCAGCACACCTGAGGGATATAGCGCTCTCCCTTCCCAGAGGGGCTTCCTGGAGTCTCTAGGTCACAGAACAAGGATCTCAGGCTGGAAGGGCCCTTACAGGCCGTGGAGTCCTGCGTGAATGCTTCTGTGCATCCCCACGTACAGCCTTCCGGGAGGTACTGGCTGTGGCCAGGAGAAAGGTCTCCCTGGGGGTGAGCCCGAGCATGTCTCTGGGTCCTCCTCCCCTTGGTCATTGTTAAGGTCATTGTCTCCCGTCATGTCCTTACCCTGCTTTCTGGGGAGCAGAATGACTACTGATTAAGCAAGACTCCTGATTCCTGCCGTTCTGCCTCTGGGGTAGCCTCAGAGGTGCCCTGGGTGCTACAGCCCACTGCTTCACCTGGTGACAGTGAAGAGGAGCAGAACTAGGTGAAAATCTCTCCACTCGTTCCCCAAGCTCCCTCAGGGTGTCGTCTTGTTGCTCTCTGCAGTTGAAGAAGCAGAGGAAACACAAGGTCGATAGAGGTGATTCAGGGACAGGGACCTGCGGATGCCCTCAGGCTGGTCTCTGCCCTCTCCCAGCACGGGTCCTGGAGCTGCAGGCAGTGTCCCAGATGTCGCCTGTCCAGCACCAAGCAGAGCGAGACTGTCCTGTTGCAGCTTTTGAGCCCTCCCCCATCCTCATGGGATGGCTTTGACTCACTGACTACTCACCTCAAAGGTCTCTGTAAATGAAACCCCAAAGTCCTCCCTCAGGCTGATGGCAAGCCCTGTCACCTCTATCTTGCCCGCATGGGTGGGCAAGACCTGGGTGTTGAGACCCACTAAGACTTGACCTTCTCCTGTTAGGTTTCCACTTCTGACATTCTTTGCTTACTTTCCGAAGCCTTCTGAATTCCTACTGTCGGAGTGAACAGTTAGTGTCTCTTCTACTTTGTCTTACTTGTAAGTCTGCTGAGAGGCCTGCCTTGTCTTCAGGTCATCAGTAAACACGCTAACCAAGAGAAGCACGATACTAAAGACCTTCTTTGACTGTGGCATGATCCATTGTTGCAAAAACCTTTGAATATTTGTCTAATTGGACTAGCTTTCCACTTACATTGCCTCATCTTGCTCACAAGTTATCATCTCTGGTCTCTGCAGTTCCTTGTGGAAGCCTGGCTGTCCTGTCCTCCCATTTCTTCCAATAGGCCTGAGGACATGTGCCCTGACTTGCTGGGAACTTGGGCTTGCTCCTAGTGGTCACTAACTCTCCCTTCCCCAGCTGTTCAGTTAACCCCGTCCACAGTCTTATGTTGACTCACCGATCGGCAGACCATAATTTCTTCCCCTCTCCGAACCTAAGGCTGCATCTGCATACTTCCGGCCTTTCAGCGACTCCTCTCCTTTTTGTTCTTTTGTTCTCTATGGCTCATGATTGCCTTTTGCGTGGCCTGCGTCACGTGCTTTAAGAGAGTGAGGCGGGGCATTGAGTCTGAGGTATCTTCCCCAGCAGTTCTGAATTACCAGAGCGGGGAGGGTATCTTGCCTTGGGCACAGGGTTGCAACCAGGCACCCTGGGTGGTCTTTCCTCCCCTGACAGCCTACTTTTCTGATTTCCTGGGTCCAGTAGGGGCAGCTTCCACCATGACGGAGGAGAAACAATGAGGGCAGGAAGGGAGAGGGCAAAGTGGGCATGGAAAGTGGGTCTGTCCATAGGTTGGCCTGGCCCCCACGCTCTGGTCAGCTCAGGTGGATTAGCTGGAGCATGTAGGGTGGGTCTAAGAAGTGCATGTGTGTGTTGGGGGCGGGGACCAACTTCTTAAATATGTTAGCTGTGTCTGGCTTTTTCAGCCCACGGGAGAGGTGCCCTTGCCCTCCTTTGTTGTCGAGTGTGGTTCACTCGCTCCTCAGATACGTGTTTGCTCCTCAGGGGAAGCAAGGGGATGCAGAAGGGGCTGTCTTCCTGGGAGGTAAAAGGGCCACCTCGTTGGTCCTGGGCAGAGTGGATGCCTCAGGGAAAGCAAGGGGATGCGGAGAAGCTGTCTTCCTGGGAGGTAAAAGGGCCACCTTGTTGGTCCTGGGCAGAGTGGATGGATTGGTGGACACAGCAGACCAGGTTTCTCTGACTCTCATGAGCCAGTGGCCGGTGCTTTCCTGGGCCTCTCTGGTCCAGCCCTCAGCAGGAGGTGATTATAATGAAGAAGCCACCAGGGTCAGTTGGAAGACCCATCCATCAGTGCCCTGTCTGCCGTCCGAGTCTCCTGGCGGGGCTGCAGCTGGCAGCCTGGGCTTGGCAGTGGTTCCATAATTGGAGCGCGAGTCATTAAAAAGCCATTACTGTCTCCTTTCATGGTTATCGTTTCAAGCTGCCTAGGATAGTGCCCATTAGAAAGAGGCAGGCCGGGTGTATTGGTGAGAAAGGAAGATGCCTAGGAAAGGTGCCGGAGTGGGAGATGAGAAGGCAGGGCCATCTGGTGGGGGGTGGGGGTGGCGGGGAGAGCGGCTGGGCCTGCTGAGGAGGTAAGAGGAGCTTCGGTTCTCTCCTTGGAGACAGCCATCGTCGTTGTCATTGTTCTCCACTACCCGCAGCTGTTTGCAGGAGATTCTTTGTTACTCACCAGGCATAGATGCTGTGTGATCCAGACACATTGTTGTCAGGCAGAAACACCCACCCAGTACAAGCTTATCCCTGCTAGGTGACTGTGGTCCACCTCAGACCTTTGCGGCTCTCATAGAAACACCGTGCTGTGCCAGGAACCTGCTTTACTCCATCGCGGTGCCCGTTCTTGGAGCCCCCTCGTTTAGGTGGATTCCTGTTGGCCTCCTGGGTGGTCTTGATCAGCCAGGCAATGTTCTTATTCACCAAGCACATGCTGCCGCCCCCAGCCCTGTGCCGTTCCTCCTGCTGCTCCACCGTGGTGGAAAGAGGTGGTGGACGGCTCTCTAGGCACTCCCAGGGTATCTGAGTTTCTGGAATTCCTTAGAAGCCCAGCCTTTGTATTCATCCATTTCTCTCTGAAAGCTGGTGGTTAAGTCTATTCTACCTATAATCTTAGCTGGGGACCAGCATTATTAAAGCTTGCAGCTCTTTAACCCCCATAAGGGAATGCAGGTGGGGACAGAGGAAGAGAAAGTAATGTTTTCGTGGAAAACAGCCTCCTTCCCCCCGGGCATAACTTGTGTGGAAAGCCCATGGCAGTGGGGCGGTGGCCTGTGGTAGGAAACCACCCCCTCCACGCCCCCTGTGCACAGATAAAGACATTATGGGAACACTGGGCAGTGAGGCCACTGGTTGGAACCACCTCTTGTCAGTCAAGCATCGAGCAGCTGCTGTGACCCAGCAGTTCCAGAGATGACTTTGCTAATGTGAGCTTATGTCTCAGCCGGATGTCCCCTTTTCTAAATGACCCATGCACTATGGATATTATCTTTTTTCTGCTCAGCCACGCCTGGTGCCAGGGATGACCCAGGTGACTTCCCTTGGCCCTGCCCTCTGAAAGTGCAGGTGGCTTGCATCATCCCAAAAAGCCATGAAATGGCCTCTCCTGCTGGCATGAAGGGGAGCCAGTACTACTGTCTTGCAGAGGTGACACATGCTCCTGTGGCCAGGCCACCAGCAAGCACATGACTGAGATTACAGGCTGCCCTGTGCGTGCCTAGGCACAGAGTTTGGCAAGGAGAACACAGTTAGATCTGAGGCCCCGTCGCTCCTGTCAGGTGCCACACGGAGCCCAGGTTTCAGTTTTCATCTGGATCCTGGCAATCTTGAATGAGTATATACTGCTCACACAGCAGGCCGTGGTGGACAGCGGTGTTTGGGACTGACCCTTCGAAGTCAGCAGATGTGTGAGCAGATGCTTTGCCCTTGTGTTATTCAGTCAGGCCATTGACTTCGGGAGGAAGAGTTGTAGTCTCCCAGACCTAGTAGAGCCCTTGGCATCCTGCCCACTCTGGTACTTTCCCCTTTCTTCAGAAGTCCTGCGGCCACTCTCCAGCCTGTGGTGCATGCCTTCTGTGATGGGACACTTTGACCAGGCCCATCAGCATGAGTTTTCAGGAGCTGGTTCCCTGTTCTCTGGTCCATGGGGAGTCCCAGTACAGCTCTGTACTCTTAGGCAGGTGGGAAATTTTAGGAAGACTGAGGTCTGACTTAGAAGCATGTGTAGTGGGTAGTGTTTTCTACTGTGCTCTGGCAACTGAGGGTTTGGGGAATGAGGCTGTTCTGTGCACGGCCCCAGATCATAGTTGGGGCTCCTCTGAGTGCAGAGCAGCCGGTGAGAATCAGGAAAGGCCTTCCAAGATGGCAAGCAGGAAAGATGGCTGCCACTTAGAAATATGCAGAATCCTCATCAGTTGTGTCCGGGCAAGTGCTGGTGGGCTGTCTGTGATCCATGAACTTCCAGCTACTCTTGGCTGGGTCCCTCAGCACACAGAGACATAAGTAATTTAGATGAGCTGAAGGGACATTTCAGGTCAGTGATTGTTCCAGCTAGAAGGGCTACTACTGCTCTCTGGAGGTGGTGGAAATGGCTTCACCTTGTCCTTGGGGTGATTTGACTTGATGTTTTCCCCTTCCACCGTACTCACCTGCACACAAGCATGCCCACTTCTTACGCAGATATTTGCATGCATGTATATGCGGTATGTGCTTACTCAGGTAGATGCACTCACACGTTTAGACACCTCCCGGAGTGTGTACGTGCACGAGATACACTTACAGCCTTACACACAAACCTCATGTACTCAAATATGTCTGTGCCAGTACCCACACACAGGTCTGGTTCGGGGACAGGCTCCAGCATAACTGAGGGTCCCTAGAGCTCAGGTCCTCAGGCTCCAACACCACCCCACACAGCTGTCCTGACCTTGGGTCTTATAGAATTTGGGCCTAGGTTTCATACATATGTCTTGGACTAGAAAGAAAGCGAAGTAGTTTGAGTTACCAGCTCCCTACTTGTTCTCTGCCTTCCTAGGAGGCCAGGTCAGTCTGTGTGAGATGACGCTGCCTGTCCCAAGACCTTGGGGACTCAAGGATTTGATGCCCTGGTGCTGCTTGACACCATGTCTGTGGCCAGGGAAGGGCCCAGTGGCTGGTTGCTGGACCACGTGTTGATGTGCTGTGTCCACTCTGCAGACATCCCTACCCAGTCCTAGCCCTGCCCAGAGGGACTGGTTTGTCTCTTAGCCTTACTCTCCCAATTGAGGGGACCCTCAGCCTCACTGAACAGTGTCAGCACCTCCACTCAGCCACCTAGAAAGCCAGAAGTTTGCTTTGAACAGATGGGGAGAGGTCTGCCCCAGAGGACCCAGCCTCCTCTAGCTGAGATGGAAAGACGAGGGGAAGAGCTGCTGAGAGCTGAGAGGGAGCCGGAGGGAACAGTTCCCTGGTCTGAATTCTGGCCTTGGGCTTGGCTTATTGCCCAGTGCTTCTGGACAGGTTCCCCTGCAACTCAGTCAGGCTCTGCTCATGGACCCAAGGGGAAAGTCTCCCCGTATTCTTTAGGGCCAGGCTGATTGGGCAGTCTTGGGGCCGTAGGGCTCCCCGCAGGAGGTAAGCTCCCAGAATGGCAGAAATAAGGCTCAAGCCTTTCGTCCCAGCTGGTTCCCAAGGAGTAGCTTCCCAGATAGTAGCCTTAACCCTTCCTCTCCCATGGTCAGCAGCCATGATGGGAGGGGTGTAAAGAACACAGATGTGCTGGGTGGGCTCTAAGCTGTATCTTGGCAGGTCATGGCAGGCCCTAAATACCCCTCTCTCCTTCTGCAGTGTCTTAGATGATGAGGGCAGCAACCTGAGGCAGCAGAAGCTTGACCGGCAGGTGAGTAAGGCTGGGGCCAGAAAGAAGGGTGGTCAGCACATGCCATCCTGGGCAGAGTCTGGGCTGGCATCTCCAAGGGGAAAGCGAGAGGGCTGCGCCTTTCCTGGGGCGCTCCTGACTAGTGGGGAGAGGGAGCCAGAAGCAGCTTTCTCTTCTACCAGCTCAGCATTAGCTCTGCCCAGGCCATGGGGCATCTGCCAGGCGGGCATCTGCCAGGCAGGCATCTGGGGTGACTGCAGTTGGAGGGCTGAGTGTGCTGTGATCCTGCCGGGGCAGCTACATTGGCTGAATTTTGCCTCCTTTTCCTGCAACCCAAGTCTTGGGATACCAAGGACATGAGGCCTTGGCCCCAAGTGCGTTTTGGACCCCATTGCGACCCTTAGAAGTGAGCTGAGCAAGCAAGGTCATCTCTCCACTCCCTGTCCGGGAGCCCTCCCTGGGTAGAGGCCATGGGCAGCCTTCTCCAGCTCGCCCACCTCTGTGCCTGTCCGATGCCTCTGTAGCGGGCTCTGCTGGAGCAGAAGCAGAAGAAGAAGCGCCAGGAGCCCCTGATGGTGCAGGCCAATGCCGATGGGCGGCCCCGAAGCCGGCGGGCCCGGCAGTCAGAGGAACAGGCCCCGCTGGTGGAGTCCTACCTCAGCAGCAGTGGCAGCACCAGCTACCAAGGTATGTGTCGCCTTTGGGACAGCCAGCCTGGGAAGGGCCCTGGGCGGTAGCTCCACACCCTTTAGGGACTTCTTGCTGACCTGGTGGCGAGGGGTCATCTGTCATGGTGTACCCAGGATGACTGGCTCCCAGCCCAGGCAGGCAGCTGAGTGGGGCGGGTGGAGGGCGGCTGGGACTTGAAGCCCTGGACTCCTGCATATGCTCAGGATGTTGGATCCTGGATCAGGTGCTGGGGCCAGAAACGGAAACTTTACGGACCTGGTCTCGGATCTGAATTTTTTTTACTGAGAGCAGGAGGCAGCTCCTAGGCACAGAACGATCCATTCCCCACCATTGTCCTGACTCCTGAGAGGAATCCATCTTAACATCCCACACCAGCTAGTGTCTCCTGCAACAGATACCTATTGCTTCCTGTCCCTGGGCTCCCTGCACCCTCAGTCTACCTGGCTTCTGACCTCAGGTCCCTGCACAGAGCCGTGGTGACCAGCGGCCTCCGCCTCTCCCATCTCTGCACACTCTGCTTCTCAGAAGAGCTCACTTGGCAGGGGATTCTCTGCAGCTCATCCTGGGAGTGTGGTGGTGGTGGGGTGGCTCCGTCACCTGCCTGAGCTTGGGTTCAGAGTACCCCAGACCTGGCAGAGGGTTGGTCTCTCTGATCCCAAAGGAAGGACTCAGACTCAGTCCCCACTGCCCACTGCTGGTGGAGGTAATCCTGGTGGCTTCTCTGTCAGCTGGTGGCTCGAAGACAGTGGCAAGCATCTGGCTTTTGCAGTTGGTAGGAATCTTAGCAACCATGGTTCTCCCCTCCTTCTGCGGCTTCCTCAGGACCTGCAGCCTCCAGCCACCTTGAGCTACTGGTAGTTGCCTCACCTCAGGGCCGACTGCGGGGCCCTCCCCACACCCCTACCCCACAGCATCACAGGCTCCACTAACCCAGCCCTTAGCTTACTGGGTCCCCTTGTCTGTGCCTTGGAGGGCAAACCTAGTGCCCACTCCCGGCACAGCATACTGGACAGCTTGGTGCTCTGTGTGTGCCCTCATCCCACTGAGGAAGCCCATTCATGTCTAATAATAAAGGCTGTCTGAGGGCTTTTGTCAGAGGCTAGGCACAGTGCTAGGTCTTCTACCTGTGTTATCTCATTTCTCACAATAACTCATCCCCACATGATCGATAAGTAAATGGGCTTTGAAGAGGTCACCAACTTGCCCACCGGAATGAGGCTTTGCACCCTGTTAACCACCTCCCTGATAGAAAGCTCCATCATAGTAGTTCCCCTGTGTGGGCTTCAGTTCGGCATCCAAGGCCAGAGCTTGTATGTACTCTACCTGAGAGGGCCCTTCAGAGGAGGGGGACGGGGGCTTCAGCCCAGCACTACTGTCTTGGACATGCAGCCCCAGCGGCTCCATGCAGAACTGGCCCCTGACCCCACCCTCTCCTGGCAGCCTCCTCCTCACACTTCCCCTGTGAGCACCATCCCAAGCATGGTGGTGGTGACCTGCAGAGAAGGCACCGGCCGTTGTGGGTCCTGTGGAGCCTTGGCCTGCCCTGTGGGCATCAGAGGCCAACATCGAGACTTGGAGTCCTGCAAGTCTCTCGTGTGTAGTCATTTGGGCAGGCGTTTCTTGAGTGTTGAACTGTGCCAGGCCTGCAGAAATGACCAGAGTCTGAAGACAGTTTCTGCTCATGCCACTAGTAGTCACTACTAGTGGTCACTTGCTCACTTGTGACAGTGAGCAAATCACACTCTGTGGTCTGTTTCCTCCCCCAGTAAGTGAGGAAAATTCTTTGTCTTGGGGCTTTGAACAGTGAAGCAGCCATGGTATTCCAAGGTCTAGTCAGCTGCATGCTAGTCCCTGCCGAGACTCCAGAGCAGGCTAGGCCATGCTGCTTCTCTGGGGATGCAGTCTTGCCCAGCTCTGAGGAGGCTGCTGTGCAGGTGGCTGGCTGACCTGGGGTTGGTGTTACCCAGAGTACCCCAACCCCACCTGCAGCATTAACTGCCTCCTCCTCTGCCTTCTGCCAGCTCTTGGTGTTACATACAAGGGGCTCATTCTCAGAGGAGGGTAAGAGATTTTGACAAAAACCAGAACTGGTGGTTTATCCTGGTAGTTTTTGACCTGCTGGCCATACTCATTCATTACACACACACACACACACACATATATACACACATATATATGTATGTGTATATATGTATGTATATATGTGTGTGTGTGTATGTGTGTGTATATATACATATATGTGTGTATATTCCAGCCTTTGTTGTATTTCACAGGAGACTTAATTATGCATCCCCAGAAACTACACTTTGCTCATTCATTAGAAGCCATATAGCTTTCTATATTCAGCCTAAATTCTGATGGTTCTTTCTCCCTAGCATTAATACCAGATGTCGTTTCGAGTTGGAGCAGGAAGAAGAGCCATGGATTGTAGAGGAAGAAATGTTATTAAGACATTTAG